ACCAGTGATCGAGGCGTACCGTAATCCTTTCCGGTTTGAAATGATTATTTCAAACCGGAAAGGATTACGGTATGACAGTTTCTTGAGAAACCGGCAAAATCCTTTTCCTTCATCCGAGTCTGCCAGCATTATAACGGTTTTGTGAGCAGATGGAGAATTGAATGGGATGGCTCAAGACTCAGAAATGAAAGTACGAACTCTAGCTCCCAGTGTATAGGAACGAGTGGATTGAGCCAATAATGCCTAGTATTCTTCCAAGCCTTCCTAACGAAAAACTGAGGCGAAAAAGGAGAGAAGAATCATAACAAAGTTATTATAAAAAGCAAAAGTAACTAAGTCGGACACTGCATTTTCGCGAGCTTTGCAGAAGTTCAAAGCAGTGAAGGAATCATTTGATTAAAAATGATATTAAAAAGAGAAGATACTAGGTGCTTACGTTTCTAACTGCCGCTTTTCTGACGGTAACAATCCAGTGCTACTGAGGTATTTGAGTAGGCACTTCTCAAAGCTATCATTGCTGACAGTCTTTACAATAGAACGGCGTAGTAGCTTCAAATGGAGATCGACTAGCTCCTTTGATACTTAAAAGTAAATTTAAAGGAAAAATACGTAGAATTTCTAATGAAGTAAGTAAAAGTTGCATAGAACTCCATACCTCTGCCATCTTCTAGCGTTGTGAACATATTTTCCAACTGGGAGAAGCTGACTGGCTCCATTCCTAAGATGGAGGAAATTACACAAATTCTGCGATTGGAAAAAAAGGAAGAGAATAACGAACTCATAAGTGTAAAGAATTTGTTGATGAAACTGCATATCACGGCAAAATCAGGATCACAACGTAACTGCTGTGCATCGATCTTCAAAATAACTAGCATAATATTAGTGTGATAAGAGGTTTCAAATTCAAGTACCTGTGGAGCAGCCGAGGCTTTGCGGATACCAGCTGGACCTGGTTGCTCAGCATCACTGACATCATCCTCTATTTCAGGATCATCAGCCGTACTCCCTCGACTAGGTATGGCTGTCGTACTGTCGTCTTCGGCAGTACCGCAGGTGGCTACTATGGAAGTTTGGTCGACTTCTGGTTGCGTAGAAGGTTTGTGAACACCATTTGTTTCATCTTTCACTGGAGGATAGTAGTCACGGGCTTCCTCTCCAAGCTAAAGTAAATGTCATTTGCAGAGGACTGACAACATCTCTTTTTAATTGTTTCATCTGTTCAAATGTTCAAAAGGAAGCATGTATTCATTGCAAAAGCTGTTGTTCCACCGATGTGACTGGATGTGGCTAAGATCGTTGAAAGCGCATGAATTAAATACAATTCTTAGATTATAGTCAAAATAGGCTCATATATTTCAAGTAAAAAGTCAACGTATGACTAAAACAAGGTGAAACGTAGATGAGAGTACCGGTGGCTATAATGTAGCTCAAACGACTTCTACAGAAAAAAAATCAAAAGCAGGGAAACCACCCTACAGTAGATATGTTGTGCAAAGATTATAGAGAATTTGGCAAGATGCAACTAGATCATAGTAGGTTGGAATTCCAACCTGCTAAGGACCCCAAAACATGAAATCTTCCCAAGACCATTAGACTATAACCAGCTCATGCGATTTTCCTTTCAAAAAATGGCTACGAAAAGGCTAAAAATGATGACATACCCTCATACCATCCTCCACATCAGGTTTTTCCTCGGCACCGACTTGAGCAGGTGGCGGAACGACCGCGGCAGATGGCGATGGAGATGTAGGCGCTCTCTAAAAAACCAACTGGATGTCCATCCTGGGAGCGCATTAGCTTAGCGTTTGTGAGGAATGGAAAAAAATACTCACACTTGCTGAATCAGCGGTACTAGGAGGGTGGTCAGTCGGCTGCGTATTGCTCGACATAGAATTTGTCGACATACTCATGATCCGAATATAGGGAGAAAAAAAATATTAAATGAAACGGTCACATACGAAAAGTTCTCTGAAAATGATAAGTACATAAATGAACACAAGCATAGACTGACATAAAGCTATAGTAACGAGTTATTCGATGGAAGACCACCCACGAAGACACGGGACAAGCAAGATTTTTTTTGAAAAAACGGTTGAAAAGCCGAAAAAAATTTTTGGACAAAGTAGTTCTATCCAACAGAATTCCCGTCTAGAAACCTTGTTGAGTAGAACTTGGATAAGATGTAAAAATTAGTTGATGATGGTTGACTCAGCTAGGACTTCTATCAGTAAGTGACATGAAAAGGAATAACTAGTTAAATGAGGGAGTAGTGAAGTGATATTCAAAAAGTTGTAACTCTTCTAAAATGCAAACGAACTCATGAAAGGGAAAAAAACAATGGTGAAAGGAAGAGCTACTGATACTGGGAGTTGCTAATACTTCCAAGATATAGTGACGAG